ACGCTCGTGACATGCGGAAAACGCCCGCGAGCGAGACTGGCGCGGTGGACGCTCGTGACATGCGGAAACCGCCCGCGAGCGAGACTGGCGCGGTGGACGCTCGTGACATGCGGAAACCGCCCGCGAGCAAGACTGGCGTGGCGGACGCTCGTGACATGGGGAAACCGCCCGCGAGCGAGACTGGCGCGGTGGACGCTCGTGACATGCGGAAACCGCCCGCAAGCGAGACTGGCGCGGTGGACGCTCGTGACATGCGGAATCCGCCCGCGAGCGAGACTGGCGCGGTGGACGCTCGTGACATGCGGAAACCGCCCGCGAGCGAGACTGGCGCGGTGCACGCTCGAGACATGCGGAAACCGCTCGCGAGCGAGACTGGCGCGGTGGACGCTCGTGACATGCGGAAACCGCCCGAGCGAGACTGGCGCGGGGGACGGTCGTGACATGCGGAAACCGCCCGCGAGCGAGACTGGCGCGATGGACGCTCGTGACATGAGGAAACCGCCCTCGAGCGAGACTGGCGCGGTGGACGCTCGTGACATGCGGAAAACGCCCGCGAGACTGTCGCGGTGGGCGCTCGTGACAGGCGGAAACCGCACGCGAGCGAGACTGGCGCGGTGGGCGCTTGTGACATGCGGAAACCGCCCGCGAGCGAGACTGGCGCGGTGGACGCTCGTGACATGCAGACACCGCCCGCGAGCGAGACTGGCGCGGTGGAGGCTCGTGACATGCGGAAACCGCCCGCGAGCGAGACTGGCGCGGTGGACGCTCGTGACATGCGGAAACCGCCCACTGGCGCAGTGGACGCTCGTGACATGCGGAAAACGCCCGCGAGCGAGACTGGCGCGGTGGACGCTCGTGACATGCGGAAACCGCCCGCGAGCGAGACTGGCGCGGCGGACGCTCGTGACATGCGGAAACCGCCCGCAAGCGAGACTGGCGCGGTGGACGCTCGTGACATGCGAAACCGCCCGCGTGGCGCGGTGGACGCTCGTGACATGCGGAAACCGCCCGCGAGGGAGACTGGAGCGGTGGACGCTCGGGACATGCGGAAACCGCCCGCGAGCGAGACTGGCGCGTTGGACGCTCGTGACATGCGGAAACCGCCCGTGGGCGAGACTCGCGCGGTGGAAGCTCGTGACACGCGGAAACCGCCCGCGAGCAATGTAAACCGCCCGTGAGCGAGACTGGCGCGGTCGTGACATGCGGAAACCGCCCGCGAGCGAGACTGGCGCGGTGGACGCTCGTGAGATGCGGAAACCGCCCGCGAGCGAGACTGGCGCGGTGGACGCTCGTGACATGCGGAAACCGCCCGCGAGCGAGACTGGCGCGGTGGACGCTCGTGACATGCGGAAACCGCCCGCGAGCGAGACTGGCGCGGTGGACGCTCGTGACATGCGGAAACCGCCCGCGAGCGAGACTGGCGCGGTGGACGCTCGTGACAGGCGGAAACCGCCCGCGAGCGAGACTGGCGCGGTGGACGCTCGTGACATGCGGAAACCGCCCGCGAGCGAGACTGGCGCGGTGGACGCTCGTGACATGCGGAAACCGCCCGCGAGCGAGACTGGCGCGGTGGACGCTCGTGACATGCGGAAACCGCCCGCGAGCGAGACTGGCGCGGTGGACGCTCGTGACATGCGGAAACCGCCCGCGAGCGAGACTGGCGCGGTGGACGCTCGTGACATGCGGAAACCGCCCGCGAGCGAGACTGGCGCGGTGGACGCTCGTGACATGCGGAAACCGCCCGCGAGCGAGACTGGCGCGTGGACGCTCGTGACACCGCCGCGACCGCCATGCGGAAACCGCCCGCGAGCGAGACTGGCGCGGTGGACGCTCGTGACATGCGGAAACCGCCCGCGAGCGAGACTGGCGCGGTGGACGCTCGTGACATGCGGAAACCGCCCGCGAGCGAGACTGGCGCGGTGGACGCTCGTGACATGCGGAAACCGCCCGCGAGCGAGACTGGCGCGGTGGACGCTCGTGACATGCCGGCGAGCGAGACTGGCGCGGTGGACGCTCGTGACATGCCGGCGAGCGAGACTGGCGCGGTGGACGCTCGTGACATGCGGCAACCGCCACGTGCGCGGTGGAACAGCCCGGCGCTCCAGGTACGCCATCATTGTCCTTTTTGCCGCACACCTGACCCGAACAAACGGTGCCAATGTGTTTCTAGGACAAACCCTCTCTTCAGAAGCTGTAGCCTCTTGGGGTTCGTCCTACTTATTTGGAAGCAGCCTGGAAGCACGTTGACATGAATATGCTGAGCACACTCGGCCCAAACAAAAGGGCGCATGAACATCCGAACAGCTGACCCCGGTCTACGCAGATCGTGGTAACACTCTGTCTCAGACTTGTTTCGGACAGGCGTCAGACCCACCAAGTGACCGAGGCTTGTCCACACCGAGCCCCCCGCAAAAGCGCAGCGCCGGCCCCGTCTCCACACACCTGCGGCGAATCCACCCAACTTGCCATCCACACGCATCGTCACCAGTTGCAATTGGTTGCGAATGGGAAAATGGGTGGAGAAACTATCGAATCCAAGCAAGCTTACGAAGCAAGTTTGTGAATTGTGAAGGCCACGTGCGCGGCTCCATGTGAACAGCAGGTGCGCCAAAATTGTCATTTTTGCCGCACACCTGACCCGAACAAATGGTGCCAATGTGTTTCTAGGACGAACCCTCTCTTCAGAAGCTGTAGCCTCTTGGGGTTCGCCCTACTTATTTGGAAGCAGCCTGGAAGCACGTTGACATGAATATGCTGAGCACACTCGGCCCAAACAAAAGGGCGCATGAACATCCGAACAGCTGACCCCGGTCTACGATCGTAACACTGTGTCTCAGACTTGTTTCAGACAGGCGTCAGACCCACCAAGTGACCGAGGCTTGTCCACACCGAGCCCCCCGCAAAAGCGCAGCGCCGGCCCCGTCTCCACACACCTGCGGCGAATCCACCCAACTTGCCATCCACACGCATCCAATTGACAACGTGCGCGGCCCTTTCCACAAAGTCACCAGTTGCAATTGGTTGCGAATGGGAAAATGGGTGGAGAAACTATCGAATCCAAGCAAGCTTACGAAGCAAGTTTGTGAATTGTGAAGGCCACGTGCACGGCTCCACGTGAACAGCCCGGCGTTCCAGGTGCGCCAAGATTGTCCTTTTTGCTGCACACCTGACCCGAACAAATGGCGACAATGTGTTTCTAGGACGAACCCTCTCTTCAGAGTCTGTGGCCTCTTGGGGTTCGCCCTACTTATTTGGAAGCAGCCTGGAGGCACGTTGACATGAATATGCTGAGCACTCGGCCCAAACAAAAGGGCGCATGAACATCCGAACAGCTGACCCCGGTCTACTCCGATCGTGTTGTAACACTGTGTCTCAGACTTGTTTCGGACAGCGTCAGACCCACCAAGTGACCGAGGCTTGTCCACACCGAGCCCCCCGCAAAAGCGCAGCGCCGGCCCCGTCTCCACACACCTGCGGCGAATCCACCCAACTTGCCATCCACGCGCATCCAATTGACAACGTGCGCGGCCCTTTCCACAAAGTCACCAGTTGCAATTGGTTGCGAATGGGAAAATGGGTGGAGAAACTATCGAATCCAAGCAAGCTTACAAAGCAAGTTTGTGAATTGTGAAGGCCACGTGCACGGCTCCATGTGAACAGCCCGTGCCGCACACCTGACCCGAACAAATGGCGACAATGTGTTTCTAGGACGAACCCTCTCTTCAGAGTCTGTGGCCTCCTGGGGTTCGCCCTACTTATTTGGAAGCAGCCTTGGAGGCACGTTGACATGAATATGCTGAGCACACTCGGCCCAAACAAAAGGGCGCATGAACATCCGAACAGCTGACCCCGGTCTACTCCGATCGTGTTGTAACACTGTGTCTCAGACTTGTTTCAGATGGGTGTAGAGCGAGCTTATGCATTGCTTCCAATTTGGGAGTGGTAGCTTGTGCGGATCCATTTGCGGATTTCTGGGATTGGTTCTTCATGATGAATCGGATGACTTCGTGCCTTCCATGTAGTGCGGGGCCTGTCATGTTTCACCCGTGCCTTTGCCTATTTCTCTGTGCTTGGTCAGAGCACAGGCTGCTGGCTGCCAATCCGGCTTGAGTCGCGGTTGCTCCCCTTCTTCATCTGTTTTGGGGTTGATTTCCCAACTGTGAACAACCTAAATCTTGGTTTGCCTTCGGACCCTTGAGCCGGAAAACGACGGGATCCACATGCCATGGGGAGAGGCTGGTTTGCTTTTGGGTTCCCGGGCTCCTCTTGTTTGTGTGTGGCCAGGGAACATGAGTTTCCTTGTAGCGGGGTTTGGGAGCCAGCAGGAATGGTGTGAGAGAGTGCGAGCAATGCCGAGCCTTGTTTGCCTTAGACAGCTGGCGTGTAAGCCACGTCCAGCCGGAACCGCAAGTTTCAGGAAACGCAAAACGAGGATCACAGGTTTCAGTCATTGTCGCGAGAGACTGGGACTTGGATGAGGGATTTGGCATTTGCACTCCCTCAAAAAAGCCGAGGCTTGAAACAGGAGGGGGCTGAGGCTTCGTTTTTCGGACGACTTTTGTGTTTATTTGGTCACGAAGAAGTGCTTGGATGGCTTGCCTGGCAAGCAGTTTTGCTCTCCTTCTTTTAGTAACATTTGAGCCACATTGCGACTTCTACGACAGGCCTGCGGGAAAAGAGCAACAACAACTTGCCATGGGTCCGGAACATTTTGAGCCAAAGCCATTCACAACGACGCATCAGTTCAAGGCAAAGTGGAGGAAGTGGCACAGGGGGGCAGGATTCACCGAGTTGTTTCACGAGTCTGTTTACCTCCCCAGTTGGACATGTGACTCTTTCATTTGAGTTTTGTTTAAAACCACATCATTAAAAATTGAAAAGGCTCCCCCCTGAAAAGGGATGGCGACAGGACTCTAAATCCACGTCATCAACAGCTTGAAAAGGCCCCCCTCAAGAGGGACGAAGAGTGGACCATCGATCGGTGCGACCGAGGTGCAGTCATGAGCACCTCGGGCCGGGTGAAGTCCTTCAATGGCGGGAAGGGCTTCGGCTTCATCGACTGCGCCTCGGCCTTCCCCGGATCGGATCGGATCGGCAAGTAAAGACCCAGTCTCAAAATGCGCCGGTTGGTTCCTTTAAAAGAGCCCCAAAGGGAACCCACAGAAAAAGGACACGCACCCACAAATTGAGTGCTTTCCATGGGTGGTTCTTTTTGGTTTAGGAAAACCCAACCCAAAGAAAGGTGCTGAGAGCCCTCCATCAGAACCTCGTCTAAGAAGTTCCTAAGAACCTTCCCTTGGGTGAGGGGGCCTTTGGTATCGTTTGGATGATCGTCAGCTTGAGCAACCTTGATCAACTGGGATCTCCCGGCATAGGATTTACCCACATGACCTGAAGTGGGGACAAACACTGGGGACGAAGTGTCAGGATTAGTAGCCGCTAAACTGTTTGGCTTAGGGCTGTTTACAACGGGTGCCATTTTCCAAGTCAGCTCCAAGGAGGTTTGAACAGCCACTGAGGACTCTGCAGCAAGGCAGTCAAGATCTAAGATGATCTATGTGCAAACTTGGAAGTTCAGATTATCTCGCGTGTCAACTCCTATATGCTGAGATTCTGTGTGAGTGGCAACCGGTCACTGTGTGGCGGACGGTCTGGGGCTGTGGCAACAGATTCCAACCCCCCAGTTGCAAAAAAAAGTGGAGGCCCCCGTTCTCCACTTTCGCTTCCAGATCCCGGACTGCAAATGAACCATCGCCTCAAGCAAAAAGTGTTCTTCCCATTGCCACTCAGGCGGATTAGGCACAGACGTCTTCATTCACATCAAGGACCCGACGCAGCATAGTGCCACAAGCGAGCGAGCGGCATCCTGGACCAAAAGAACTAAGAACCAAATGAAAACAGGAAACAGGGTGCCGCCAAATAGCTGGGCTGTGCATGCCAGACAGAAGATTGCTGAAACACTCAACCCCATTTCTAGGTGTCACAGGCACCTAGAAACACCTGTAGGCTCGGTCTGCATGGTAGCCCACTGCCCAAAACGACTCTGCAAGAGCCCATTTTGTTGCACCAGGTCAGACAGGCGTCTCTGGTGAGACTGCTACGGAGCAACAATCTCCACTGAGCCAAGCAAACATATACCTTCATGGCGCAGGAAGGTCCTTCTGGCTGTATTGAAGATGCAAAAAACGAGCATGAGAAAAACCAGACATGCACATTGATGACATGGGGTGGCCGTTTTCGAATCCCAACCATTTGCAAGGCTTCGAATCCTGGAACACGCCACAAGCGAAAAGCAGTTGGTTTGTTTGTTGTTTAAGCCAACAGACTCCCCCTGTAGAGCAGGCCCAAGACCAAAAGACGAAACCGGCGACAAGACTGGGCACTGATTGTTGAACCCAGGAAGCCTGAAACTTGGACATGGGTACAAATACACCGAGCCAAGTGGGTCGCTTCCCAGGGAATCGTTGTCACTGGGGTACGTAGATGTTTTGCATGGCATGTTTCGGGTTCAGGGAATCTGGACTTCGAGCATTGCATTGTCCCATGGGAACGAAAAAGGGACCCCAGTTTCAGGTTCCCCAAAAGGGAAACAGACATCATATTCCGAAATGAGCCGATGGGTGCCGGAAAGTCCCTTGGCACCATGACTGGACACCCAGCACGGTGCGAGGACTGCGTTGATGGGAACCAGCCCGCGGCAGGTGATACGTTGACGTGCCTTGGCAGGTCAGAGGTTGCTGGACGAGAGACCCTATATAGATGTTTGGGCACTTTATAGGCAGACTCCCCGCAAAAACCATACGCATGAATGCCTTCCAGCCGAGCGAGTTTTCTTTTTGTGTGGTGCAACAGAGGTTCCGTACTCCACCATGATTCTCACTTGTTCGATTGGGTAAGACGATGATGGGCCTCAGCAACCTGCTCCTGCAAGTGCCGAAGTTTTCGGGCAGGGGATGTGGTGTGCTTGAAGCCCGGAATTCTTTTCCGGGTTCCATGGGGTTTCTGGCTACCGTGTTCCTCGGCCTTGCGGGTTCCGTATTTGAAGACGACACTCACTTTGATCCATGATGTGATTGTCAGGCCCCAGGTTCGGTCAGTTGCCCCTCTGTGGTTAGGCCCGACAAGACCCCAAGACCCGAAGTCAACGCGTATCTTACGCCTTTGCCCTCTGAGATTGACACCCTAAAGCTTGACAGCCTGTCAATTTTCTCGGTCACTACACATTCCCCCAGCCTTCAATTTGCTCGGCCGCTTGCAAAGCTCCACACGCTTTGTACGAGGTTTGACCTGGAGCCGAGCAAGTCCAAGCCTGGGCAAATGCAGGCCTGAGTCGGGCGGAAGGACCCGGCTGCCGGATCCAGCTGTTATTCCCAAGTATCCCAGCACTGAACTTCCCTTGCAACCTCCCTACCCTGAAACCTAAGGCGACCCCAACCGAGATGGCGGATGGCCTTTTGGTGGAAGCATTTCCCTTCAAATTTGGATCCACCCGATTCTTCCGGCCACTTCTCTTCAGAGTTTTTTTTCCGCTTTATAGCACTGGCTTCACCTCGCCCCTTGAAGCCTCGCTTTTGCCGGGGGTTTCCCGACCAGCAATATATGTCACACGCGTTGTGAAGCTGACCTATGGGGCATTCACGAAGAAAAGAGGGACCAAGGCAAGCTCGCGGCATCAACCCGATAGGGTGTCAGAACCCGCCAAAACCTGCAGGGCCACCCAACCCAGGATCGGCCAAGAGCCCATAGCTGTCGCTGTTGGTGAAAAAGGCAGGGAACACCATCAGATTCTTGCACGCAGATACCTCAGTTTCAAGTTTCCTTTGGGCAACGCCTTTGCGCAATTGAGGAGTCTCAGATTTGAACAACTGGAAAGAACCAACAGGGGTTCCTCCTTTTGGAATCGCCACTTTTGGCAGTTTCAACGCAAACCAGCAAATTGTAACCTGTGAAGACATCCAGTGACCCCTGACCAACTAGAGAGGAAACGCGGTGCCATCTAAGTAGATCTATTCTGTGACTGCCTCCTAACTGGAGCATTGGCGCGAGGCCAAAAACGTGCGAGGGGGCACCGCGGTGAAGGAGCAGCCCGGCGCCGACCCGCGACTTGTCAATGTTTTGTTGTGGTTGATGTGTTTGCTGGAATGTTTGGTTGATTTACTGTGGTTTGTTTGTTTGCTTTGCTTTGTTTGTTTGTGTTTGTTTTTGCCAGTTGCTTGTTTATTTTGAGTGTCTGCTTGTTTGTTCATTTTGCCTGTCTGCCTGTGTTTGTTTGCCGGTTTCTTTTCTTTTGCGGGGAGGGGGAGGGGGGGGGGGGTTGGGCTTGTCGGCTTGTCGGCTTGTCGGCTTGTCGGCTTGTCGGCTTGTCGGCTTGTCGGCTTGTCGGCTTGCTTGCTTGCTTGCTTGCTTGCTTGCTTGCTTGCTTGCTTGGTTGGTTGCTTGGTTGGTTGGTTGGTTGGTTGGTTGGTTGGTTGCTTGGTTGCTTGGTTGCTTGGTTGCTTGGTTGCTTGGTTGCTTGGTTGCTTGGTTGCTTGGTTGCTTGGTTGCTTGGTTGCTTGGTTGCTTGGTTGCTTGGTTGCTTGGTTGTTTGGTTGTTTGGTTGTTTGGTTGTTTGGTTGGTTGTTCGTTTGGTCGTTTGGTCGTTTGCTTGTTTGTTTGTTTGTTTGTTTGGCTTCTGCCCCTGGTCAGTGGAAGCTCTCACCGGCGGTACACGCTGATTCCAGGCACTCTTCCATCTCGGAGTGTGATGCTTTTCCTCTGAGGGTCTGCGACCACTTCCGGGAATGAGGTGTTTCGAAGCAAACGGGTTTAATACAAGAGGGGCAACCGGGGCAGCTTCAATGAGATTCTGCATGGCGTTGCTAAGGGATCCATCTCATTTCGGCACGTCCCCATACCAAAGATGATTGTCAGACTTGCGCCCCCTCCCCTCAGAGCCCTTTTGACACGTTGCGAGGAAGACATCGCGCGTGCTGTGACCCATCAAGAGACTTGAACCTGGCCCCGTCCCGCTTGAATGGTCAGGGACCCTTGAAGGCCATCCGAGCTGGGTGTGTCCCAGAAAAAAGGTATCACGGATGGGAGACCCACAGTGTGGCTGAAAAGAGACAGACGAGGTTCACGGCCACGCGGAGTGACTTGGCGCAGCGGTCCGGAGGATCCGTTGAAAACGCTTTGCGTGTCGGCTTTTTGAGCCGAAGCCGTTTCTAGCAAGGGATTCCTGGAATCACCCGAAGATCAAAGGCGCAGAATCCCAGCTGAACAGCGGAGATCCTCCTATTCAGTGACAAAGGCTTGTGGGTTGCCATGAGTCCATGGGCGGCTCTTGCTTCTGAGTTGATTCCGCTGTTGTCGATCTATTTTAGTTTGATTTGGGCTGCTGTCTGGGCCCACTTGGGTGGCAGTTGTTTCGGACGTGCTTTTGCATGCCTTTTGCCTGGACCGTTTTGTGAGATGCTTGATGTTTGATGCATTATTTGGTATTGGTTTCAGTCTGCTGTTTCCCGTTCACGGTAAGTTGGAGTCAGCTGCAAAAAAGCTGCTGCTGCTTTGCAAACTGTGGTTCGAAGAAGCTTGGTTGGGCTTGCGGCTGATGGGATGGGGGCAGGGTCATTTGAGGGTGGTACATCCAAGTTGTATTTGCATCAGTTTCAGATGGGGAAGGGCCTTAGTAGTCTTGAAGGTCGCTCTATACACGCTAGATAGAGGACAGACACCCCTGAACAAATAAACCTGTGCTTCTTACTGTCTTTGGATCTTAACGTGCTGCGCATTCCTGTTTATAGGTGGCATTTGTCTCTAAATACACCATCAATTGCCAAAAGAGACTCCCTTGGATGGTGTTCTTCCACAGGAGTTGACACCTGGAAGGGTTGTTGATGGAAATTGAGAGGGAGAGAGCGGGAGGCTAGGCGCTAAAGCAGTTCTGGTTGGTACCAGCTGGGGCAGAGATTTGCGCCTGGTCAATACGTATCTTGAAGGGCCTAACTTCAATCACACCTTATTGCAGCAAAGCCGGCAGAATTGCCACATCCAAACAGAGGTTGAGTCGGTCCTAGCTGCGTGGCTTTGTTCCTTGAGGTCCCCTGCTTTTGAGCTGTGTGCATTGCCTGGATTAGTCGCATCCAGCCCACCTCAAAACATCGGCAACCCCCCCCCCAAAAAAAAAGAAGTCAAAGCAACCCAAAAAGGGCCCTTGCTGGCTGCAAGACCCAGAAACTCCAGAAAATCCACGTGTTCCGAACCGAGGCTTGGGCACCAGGACGGGCACCGTGAAGACCTTCAACGCAGAGAAAGGCCCGAGCGCGAGCGTTCCAAGTTGGGCTCAGAGCTGGGTCTCCACATCTTTTCCCTGCAAAAGGGGGAAACGATTCCTCTAACAACCCATCTAGTGAGATGATGGGGTTTTCTTTCATTTTTCCGTTCTTCTTGCAAATGTCCGGTGCCTTCTCACCGACCCAAAAAGATCCCCCCGCCCAAAGGGGGCCGCGGCCGGCCGGTCGGCCGGTCGGCAGCGTCAGGCTTCGGCTTCATCGCGGTGGAGGACGGGGGCCCGGACGTGTTTCTGCACGTGAAGCAGTGCGTGGGCTCCATGCCCAAGCCCGGGGACATCGTCACCTACGACGTGGAGCCCTCCATCAACCGGCCCGGGCAGATGGCCCCCGGGCCTGCGATGTATGTTGAATTCTCTCTGTGGTCTTTGGTTTTGTAGGAGGGCATATTTGGAAGCATCGGGAGTTATCCTTTTGCCCCTGGGAAATTGTCCAAAAGTGGGGAAAGTAATCAGTTGGTCTACCTGTGTTTCCGGGAGGTCCTTAATGGCGACCCAGTTGATGCATTAATCCTGGTTGAGCTTGAGTAGTGGGAGATCATCACTTACAGGGGAACATCCCCCCATATTATACCAATGTTAATTCGCTAAAGAAAACGTCAATGCATGGAAACACCTCCTGTCGGTCCTTACTTGATTTCCTGACCAAAGAAGCGAGACGCACTCAGTGGTGATATGATTGTTCCTTGCTTGCGGTGTTTGCGTTTTGTGTGGGTGGTGTCTTTCAGACAGTTCACATCATGTTCGGGGGCCTCAATCCGTGCGGAAGCTTCCCAACTTTGCCTGGTGGATTCATGCGGACACAGCACCAAGGCCCAAGAAAGGGAGACTCCCGGGGAGCGTGTGCACAACTCGCTCTGATTGGCAACCCCCGCACACTCTGACAGAAGTCTTTGCAAGAACTGCTTGCCATGGGATCAATGCTAGGCTCGAGGGCCCAGACTCCGAGAAGGGGTTTAGTCAACTTCGGCATGAGGACCAATGAGGTTGCGTTGGCTCCCTAGAAATCCCGAGGTCGCAAAGAACGTCACAGGGGGCACTGTGCCGCTCTCCGCAGTAGGCGGGGCGCAAGGCTATGGAGCCATCAGGACCCGGGATGTGCGATGGATTTGGGGCCCTTGCAAACATATCCATGGGTGAATGTGGGAGGAGCATGGGCTCAATTTCCCACCAGAAAACGACTGAGAAGTTGCTCAGATTTGTTGGCCCGCCTCACAGGACCACTCTAGACGTGCAGCAACTGGCAGGCCCCTATGGCCAGAACGGGATGCTGGGTGCCCAGGGCCAAATGGGCGTTCAAGGCATGGGCATGGACTCTCATCTGGAGACAGACCTCCGTCCGGCTGTTTGTCTGCTTGTTTTATGTGTCTGAATTTGTTTGTCCAGCTGTCTGTTTGTTTGTCTGTGTGTCTCTCTGTCTGTCTGTTTTTTTTCTTCTTGTGTGTGTGTGTGTGTTTTTGTTTTCCTTTTTTTTTTTTGGTAGTGTCATAACTGGCCAGATAGATGTTTCACCAAACCTGTGCTGTATTTTCCTCAAAGAAGATGGGGCAAGGAGGCGATTCTCAATTTAACGTTGAGTATTTCTCCAAGGCTTGTAGTCATATTCGTCTTGAACCTTTGTCCGACCTTTCCCGCACATCGGAAGTAGACAGGCCGCTTTGAAAGGCAGCCGTTTCCGAATCCAAGACCTTTTGTCAGCTGGGGTTGCTGGAGGAACAATTTTGATTTGGCACAATTCCCACATGTCCGTTTCAACATTTGCCTCTGTTGGAATTGTGCCATCTCCTTTCTTCCTGGTGTGCCATTCTTCTGGCAAGAATAACTTTTTGCAACCCAGATGAACACGATCTCGCCTGCACAGCAGCCAAGGACATGAACGCCATGGGCATGCAGCAGATGCAGATGGCGCCGCAGATGGGCCAAATGGGCCAAATGGGCCAAATGGCACCAATGGGCCAGATGGGCTGTTCGCAGATGGGCCAGATGACACCTCAGATGGGCCAGATGACTCCCCAGATGGGCCAAATGGGTCAGATGGGCCAGATGGGCCAGATGGCCCCGCAGATGGGCCAGATGGGCCAGATGGGCCAGATGGGCCAGATGGGCCAAATGGGCCAAATGGGCCAAATGGGGTGTGGAGGCTGTTCAGGCTACGGATGTGGCATGAATGGCCAACTAGGCGGCGACATGAGCGGCTTGGGCTGTCAAGCGGGATGTGGTGGATGCATATCCCAGCCAATGATCGGACAGCCTCAAGATGGGCTCGGAGGAGGGTGTGGTTATATCTCCCAGCCAGTGATAGGTCAACAGGACGGGCTGGGTGGCTGTATGCCCCAACAGATGCATGGACAGGATGGCCTTGGATGCGGGGCATGCGCTATGCCTCAACCCATGCTCGGGCAGCAGCAAGATGGTCTCGGAGGATGTGGGGCGTGCATGTCCCAGCCGATGATGGGCCAGCAACAAATCTCACAAGATGGGCTTGGTGGAGGATATGGAGGTTATGGCCTGTCACAACCCATGATGGGGCAGCAAGACGGCCTCGGAGGATGTGGGGCGTGCATGTCGCAACCAATGATGGGTCAGCCACCTGTTGCGCAAGACGGCCTCGGAGGATGTGGGGCGTGCATGTCGCAACCAATGATGGGTCAGCCACCTGTTGCGCAAGACGGCCTCGGAGGATGTGGGGCGTGCATGTCGCAACCGATGATGGCTCAGCCACAGGTTGCGCACGACGGCCTTGGAGGATGTGGGGCGTGCATGTCGCAACCGATGATGGCTCAGCCACAGGTTGCACAAGACGGCCTTGGAGGATGTGGGGCGTGCATGTCGCAACCAATGATGGGTCAGCCACAGGTTGCACAAGACGGCCTTGGAGGATGTGGGGCGTGCATGTCGCAACCAATGATGGCTGGTCAGCCACAGATTGTGCAAGACGGCCTTGGAGGATGTGGGGCGTGCATGTCGCAACCGACGATGGGTCAGCCACTGGTTGCACAAGATGGTCTGGGCGGATGTGGGGCATGTGGCATGTCTCAACCGACCGGGCTTGAAGGCAGCACTGGCTGTCAAACTGTCAATGGGTCCTCCCAAGGTGGCCCCCCACAAGATGGCAGTTCAGGCACGCAGCCAGTACCCGCCCTTTCGGCACCTGAAGCTACTGGAGAAGCGAGCTAGAGCTGCATTCAATGCGTCTAATGTTAATCCAAACGCCATTAAAAAAAGGTCTTTGGAGTCGTGGAACACGAACACACCGAGAGATAAAAGGTTGCGACGTGCACTTGGGCTTGGGCTTGAGCTGGTGCTTGTGCACGACAGTGTTCATGCCTTAACACGAAGGAGCTGTGTGCCAAGGGGTCATTTGTCTGTGAGAATGGCGTTGACAAAGCATGTCTTTGGGCAGGCAGCTGAGATGGTTTGTCAGTCGTTCATTGCAAGCAGCCCATCGTCCACTACTACATTCATGACGGTATGTAGAAACAGGTGTCTTCTCGAATAAGCCAGTGGCGGTTTTGGTGGTCCGATGCGGCCATGTTCTGGGTGGGGTTTGGCACGCGCGCCTCAATTTTCTTGACCTTTGGAAGCCTACTGTGTTTCTGTGCGGCCGGGTCAAAGGGGAAAAACGAATGCAAGCTGCGACTTATGTTAGTACGGCTCAAAAACAAAACCACGGGACCGAAGTGACCTATGTTAGTATGGGTCAACATAAAACCAACAGAACACCGCAGGTGGTAGTCCTAATTCATTTACCCAGGTTTTATTGTGGGTACCTATTTTTGACCCACACCCATGTCATGTGAAGGTTCCTTTGAGGGCGTCTAGCAGAAGGATGCTCTGGCTGTGAGAAGCTTCTGACTCCAAGACACTTGCCACGTAAGGGAGATCTGGCTCTCAAGCCAAGCGATACCCTTTATACCTGTACCCTTTCAAGGGTAAGTTGACCACGTACCCAGCGCCACTCGATTTACGATTTGAATGGCCAGTCCGGCGCCCGGTGAATCGTACGATTCCAGGCAGCTGGGCTTGGCACAGTCGACCACCCCGGAGCTTCAGACTTGGCCCCTTGGCGTCGGCAAAGAACGAGGTTTACGTATGGAAACCTTGGACACCTGGTGGACTTCCCTGGTGGTTTCCTGGTGGTTCCCCAGTGGTTCCCTCTTGGTTTCCCAGATTCGCCCATTCGACTTGAGGGTGTCTCTGCTTATGAGAATTGCCAGCACAGAATTGTAGTTGTTTCCTGGCTTTGTCAAAATACAGGGACTGTTGGTGGGAGGGGGGAGCCGCCCATTTTTTTTCCAGTGGGAGAAGCACAATGGACGCTTCCATGACCTTTCACAAAGGCTGCGAACACTCCTGCTGCTGCTGCTGCTGCTGTTGCAGTTGCAGTTGCAGTTGCTGTTGTTGTTGTTGTTGTTGTTGTTGTTGTTGTTGTTGTTGTTGTTGTTGTTGTTGTTGTTGTTGTTGTTGTTGTTGTTGTTGTTGTTGTTGTTGTTGTTGTTGTTGTTGTTGTTGTTGTTGTTGTTGTTGTTGTTGTTGTTGTTGTTGTTGTTGTTGTTGTTGTTGTTGTTGTTGTTGTTGTTGTTGTTGTTGTTGTTGTTGTTGTTGTTGTTGTTGTTGTTGTTGTTGTTGTTGTTGTTGTTGTTGTTGTTGTTGTTGTTGTTGTTGTTGTTGTTGTTGTTGTTGTTGTTGTTGTTGTTGTTGTTGTTGTTGTTGTTGTTGTTGTTGTTGTTGTTGTTGTTGTTGTTGTTGTTGTTGTTGTTGTTGTTGTTGTTGTTGTTGTTGTTGTTGTTGTTGTTGTTGTTGTTGTTGTTGTTGTTGTTGTTGTTGTTGTTGTTGTTGTTGTTGTTGTTGTTGTTGTTGTTGTTGTTGTTGTTGTTGTTGTTGTTGTTGTTGTTGTTGTTGTTGTTGTTGTTGTTGTTGTTGTTGTTGTTGTTGTTGTTGTTGTTGTTGTTGTTGTTGTTGTTGTTGTTGTTGTTGTTGTTGTTGTTGTTGTTGTTGTTGTGGATGTGGTCGTTGTTGTTGCATTTGCTGTTGCCATCGCTGTTGCTGTTGTTGTTGCTGTTGCTTTTGCGGTTGCCATCGCTGTTTGCTGTTGTTGTTTCTTTTGCTTTTGCTGTTGTGTCTGTTGCTTTTGCTGTTGTTGCTGTTTCTGTTGCTCTCTTTCACGGTTATCGGTGTTCTTGCAACTTTTCGGTTGCGAATCGGTGACGGTTGTGTTTGCAGTTGCGGTTGCAGGTGGTGGTGGTGGTGGTGGTGGTGGTGGTGGTGGTGGTGGTGGTGGTGGTGGTGGTGGGGTGGTTGTTGTGGTTGTGATGGTGATGTTGGGGGGTGCTGGTGGTGGTGCTGGTGGTGGTGCTTGTGGTGGTGGTGCTGGTGGGGGCGCTGGTGGTGTTGGTGGTGGGGTCGCGGTGGGGGTGGGGGTTGTTGCGGTTTGTTGGTTGTTGGTTGTTGGTCGTTTGCTCGTTGTGCTTTTTTGCTGCTTGATGCTTGTTGCTTGTTGTTTCATGCCTGTTGTTTGTTGTTCGTTGTTTGTATGTTCTCTGCTCTCGCAGTGTTTGTGTTAGAGAGGGCAAGAGAGAGGGAGAGAGTAGGAGAGAGATATCGGGGTTGCCACTGCATAAGTGAGGGTAGCCTGATGAACTATGCGTGTAGACATCGATCTCGCAAAGCTTACAAGCTAAATGGGCGAAGAGCCAAGGTCAGACATCATGGATGGCAGCAAAGTCCTGACTGTTTTCTCTGCCATGCTGCTCCTCGTCTGACATCAGCTGGCTGCCATTTGGGGGCGAGAGCGCCTGATCCCTTAGCACTTTTTGGGGAATGTCATGGGGATAAAACAAGACCACGCCCATCAAGATTTCTAGGTTTTCCACGTCAAGAGGGGGAGAAAAGGATATCCTCTTTCCAACAATCATGGAAATGGACAGGAGGCCTTTTCAAGAGGACAGTTGGCTTCCAACATCTCCTTGTCAGCTTGTTGAAAAGAAGACATTCCATTCGTATGCCATGCGAAGCGGGCCAGATGTCTCCATATGGCTCTTGTTTTCGGAGTATGCCTCGGTTTCCCAACATATCCTGGAGACTTGCGGCTGCGTTTGCAAGACACTTTATCCCTGCACGCTGACTTTGGATCAGATTGGCGCGAGGCGGGAAGCCGGCTAGTTGAAGGGGGTCCAACCAATCTGGACCTCCCACATCCGGCTGCATATCCGCAAGACAGCTTGGGCCGGGCGTTCTCTGGCGACATATGAAACCATCTATTTCTGGCGCTGTTGAACGCCGCCACCTGATACGCCCTTGAAATTGATGTCACTAGTCAGTATTCAAATCCGGCCGCACCAATTCCCATGCGCGTCATGATCACGCCTCGTGGATGCGGGTTGACGCCAAGAAGACAGGGCTACCATGGCTCAGCTTGACGGTGTTTGGTTTCTTTCTTTAACAGCAAGCAGGTGGGTTTGTCTCTGAATTTCAACGGCTAACATGGGTGGCTTCCTTTTGGTTCCCTTTACCCCAAAAAGGGCAAACCCTTCGCCTCAAAGACGAGCCCTGCCGGGCAATTCGTCTTGAGCAGTTCCGCGAGGCCTGGACAGGCTGCGAAGGCTGCAGGTGCCAGAAGAGAGGCGGGTGCCGCAAGCGCCAGAGTCGACGTGAACTGGGTGCGTCTTTTTGTTGTAGCTGCCTTTTTGGGCACCAACAGGAAACCGCCCATGATGTTTTTTTGGGAGGGTCCAACATAGTTGAACATACCCAGGCGACTTTTTGGGAGCTTGGAGCAAGACGACAGAAGGCGAATAGTTGAAGTGACCTTTTTGGTGGGGCAGACACTTTTGACATGGTCCGAGAGAGGTTGACCTTCTGTATTGGTCTCTTGGACGAATGATTGTTGCAAGAAGGCTGGCCCAAGTGGAGTGCGCAAAAGGCCTGGGGCCTGGTATTTCTTGGATGCGAGAGGGCGATTCCATGCACAGTGTGCTTAGCGGCTTCAGGATCGAACTGCATTGCAATGGGCTCCACCCAATGGGACGTCGTCCTGGGAGTGCAAGCAACAAAAAGCAGAAAGGCTTGTTGGACTGAGAAAGCATCCTTGAAGCCCATTTTGAGCTTGGCTTCTGCAATGCTCCTGGTGATGCTGAACAATTTCCGGGACTATGCTTCAGACAGAGAGATCAGCCTGGACGTGTTGAATGGGCGTTGGGTGTTTGAGTCAGAAGGCGTGCAGCGGTGAACTGAAGGGTCGGAGATTTGGGTGGGCTTCTGGCGGCTTTTTGTTTTAAAATCAAATGGCAAGGGGTTCACATTGCGGCTCTAGCCAGTTTTGCATCGAGCCACACACACGCCTCAAGTCCTTAAGCAGACTTTTGCAGATCTGCTTCCTGCGTACATCTACCCAAACACGATTCCTTCAGGCGCCCAAGGGATGCTGGGTTTGCGTGCGGCCCGCAAGAGATTGTAGGGATTGTCCCCAGAAATAGGCGCAGCCGCCCCGATGCCTTACAGATGCGTCTCCTCCAGTACCAGGTGTCAGATTCAGAGCTCAGATTCCCCATCAAAATGCCCATTTCCGGTCCGCATGGCCACCGGGCACCTGGAAATGGATGGGTCAGTGAGCCTGTGAGCTGAATGTGTTTGGAGACACGTGCCCGTGTTTCTCGTGATTTTGATAAGCCTAGCCACCATCCATGTGCCCAAGTCAAGCAGCTTCAGCCATTTGCCTCAGGGTTCTTTCGCGATGACTCCCTGCTATCGGAAGAGACTGAGAGGTCAAAGCAGATGAAACAGCAGTGTCCACGGGCTGATGGATATACCGTGATAAACCACAGAGGCGCTTGGGTTTTTGGTTTTTGAGACCCAGTCAAGGGGCCCAGAGCGTTTGGTGCTTGAGGCAACGCTTGTCGTCCGGTCCTAAGTGCACGCTCGAGAGGTCTTTGGACCGGGGGTGAGCATCTATCTGTGTGTGATAGGAAGAACGAGACAGAGAGCACTAGCCATGCTGCCTGCAGTCTCTTTTCATCTAGGGGTGCTTCTACATATCGCCTTTTCACGCCCCTTGCCGTTCATACGTGCCTCCCTGAAAGAGGTGTATGCCGTATGATTGGCAGGTTGACTCCCAACCGCTAGGTTTCAATTGCTCAAATTCAGACATTTTCCAGTTGACAGCTGGGAACCCAACCTGC